CTTATGTGATCTGTGCTTTGAGAATTTCTTTGGAGTATAATTTTATGTATATTTGTGCTTTGTTGTGGTATATAATTTAAATCAAAGGTTAATCAAAATGATTAGTCATTTTGAACAGGAAAACGGTGACATTTGATAAGTACCTCCACTTAAAATAAATCTTACCAATATTTTCCAGTCTTGTAACTTCTGGAGGGACAAGCTTATACAAATTATGTTTAGTATTTTATTTACAAAAAGCAAAGCCAAGAAAAAATGAATTCAAGACTTCCAAGGTTCTGCTTTTCAAGTCATGCCTCTCCTTATTGAAGTGAGCTGTACGGGGGAGAGCTTTACGAATGACCTTGAAAGGAGCTGACACGTGCATTTACTTGTTCACAGTTGATTTGAGGAGTTGATCTAGTAAAGCCTGTAGTGGTGTTGTAACCTGGCTAATGCTGCAGGTTACGGCTGTTCATATGAGCTAAGAAGCCTTTTGTAATAAGGGGATAAATCAGAGGCAAGAACTGGAAAGAAATGTATCTGACCCAAAATTTTTTAAAACGTCTATGTATGTATTTTTAACTTCTGAATGATAAAATGTGATGGCCAGCAGCCTTTCCTTCTTCATTAGATGAGGACACAGGAGGAAGAATGCAATTTTTTCTGCATGTAGCACTGCACTAGATGTGGAGTGAACAAATGCCACCGAGAGACTGGGCAGGCAGGAACCGACACTGTCTAGGAAACGGTGTGGCAGGTTAGCCCATTACCCTCAAATTCATTTCTCTTGATACTGAGATGGGACAGAAGGATAGAGGGGATAATTTTTTTTTTTTTACAAAAAAAGGAAAAAAATCCCACCAAACCAACAGTTCCCCAAACTCGTCCTTCCAGAATCTGGCAGGCGTTTGTCAGAATTTGACATTTATTCTGATATATATACAGACATTTAATGTTGTCAGAATTTGCTTTAGTGTGAGGATAAGGGAACGTGCTCTGCTGGGACTGAAGTGGAGTGTTCCTGAGCTGTCATTTATTTGGACTTAGAAAACCTTTGAGGAATTTATATAAATAAACTCTTCAAGATCTAGGCTTGTGTGAGTGTTTCAGCAATAACAAGCGTCTACCAAATCCAGCACTAGGGTTCCATTTACCCTAAATGACTAGAATGCCATCAATTTAAAACTAAAAAGGTATTGATCTGGCTCGACCTCGTGGCCCAGACCCAGGTGAAGTCCCCTTATTTCTACAACAACCTTCTTGTTTGCTTAGTATAAATTGGATATTGCTTTTTCGTCTCCCGCTCAAGAAAAGCGTCTCCTTGTTGGATTCCAGGGGAGGTCAGCTGGGCAGCGCAGAAATGCAGAAGGGATTTTTGTGATTGTCTGAAATAATTTTGTCTTGTGTTTTAAGACCAAACAGAAGCAATTTTAGCCCAGAACGTAATTTTGTCTGACAGTTGGATTGCGAGCGCCTTGTTTATCTATGTTCTCATTTTCACGTTGGTTATAAGAAAGTGCTCTGCGAGTTTTTTTCTTCCAGATTACACTCAGTGGGTCTAATGGGAGACTTAATATAAATATGTATGTGCAGTCTCTTGAACTTTAATAGGGTGTTAGCAAAAATAGTTACATGTGATGTGGGGGGTGAGGAGAGGGGGAAGAAACAAAGAAATTGGAAGTGTTATGGCTCTTGTTGTCAAACCCTAGAGGTGCACGTCCTGCTGTCAGGGCTGAGAGTACTTCAGCGCTGTGAAATGCTCCTTCTCAGCCTATAGGTTTCTTCAGATTTATTTCTTTGTATTTTCACGGGTGGAAAATGCTTGGTCTCCGAATTGATTTTCCTTTGACCCTAGTCCAGCAGGGTCTGCTTGTTGATCTTTACAGTATTTATCTGCTCAGTTTTTTAGTATAAACCAAGGGAAGCATATATCTGGTATGGTTTAGATTTGCAAATAAAGTTGAGTCTTCAGTGAATTATTTGTTAAATGTTGAAGGAAAAGGAACAAAACAAACAAAAAGCTCACTTTTTCTTGCTACAATATGGCATACATTTTTTTACCAAGACTAATACCCAAACAGGGAGAGCAGTCACGTGAAGCTTCTTGTTTCCTGATGTTCGCACGCGTTGCTAGACCACGTAGCTGGCAATCATTATGTGATTATGACTGCAGTTCTCTCACCGTGGCTGGGTAAAGAATTGGAAAGTTACAACAGTTTGTTGCAAAACTTGAAGTTCTTTTTGTTCGCATAATGTTTAACAGCATCTACATAATTAGTTTTAAATTGGCCACTGTACTGTAACTTAGTCGTTTATGTAAGTGCTGTTCCATTACCCAGTGATACTTCTGGTGTGCTGACGGATTTCAGTTTTACCTTGCTGCAGTTGTTACTAAATACAGCATGAAACGTTCTGAGATAACTTCTAAATGTGCTCTGGGAAGATACGTTCAGCAAATTTAACTTTTTCTTCTGTTGTTGAATTTCCGATTTATTGTGAGTCACAAATTTCTGCCCAGCTTTCTCCTTTTCCTCCAGTGCGACGACAGACTGAACAAACCCATTGCAATTTTTAGAACATGGGTTAACCCAGGCGACTTGCCCACCTGCTCTAGAGCAGCCCGTCTCCTTCTCTTCTCTAATACAGACTTCTTACTTGTGACCTGGACAGAAGGGAGGAAGCCACTGACTTTTACATGCATTTTATTTCCTCCCCTACTTTAACCTTGGAAAGAAACCTGTGCTGCTGCAGAGGTTGGACGGGGAGGTACAGAGTAGAATAAAGCGTGGATTGACCTCAGCACCTGTGGTCCATCTCCCAAGTGCACATGCAAGCGGAGAACCTCTCACCCTGAGTGCTCTTTCAAGGCATCACCTGGCTCAACAGCTGTCAAAAAATAGATGATTTGAAATCTTTCCATTTAAGCAGGACTGTAATAGCTGGCAGGGAAAGGATCCGAGGCTATTACAGCCCGTGGCCTGGCATGGTGTGGTAGATTTGAAAGCTGTATTTATGCTGAGATGATCATAACCTTGATGAATTAAAGCACTGGAAGATGTTGGACGTTGAGAACACTCTCAAGTCTCAAACAGAATAGACGTGTTGGGCATGTATGTAACAGTCCATTGTCTCTTTATTCAGGAACGGGTTTAGATGTGGTATTTATGTGAGAAATACGTTCTACTTTACAGTCTAGTGTTCTTTTAAGAATTTATCAACATATTTAATCTGAGTGTTTTGAGATCTGAAGGACACATACAAATTTGAAAGTGGAATGAAGTGGCTTGTGTATTTATTTTGTAAGGTTATCTTTGCCTGTCTAGAGTAGTGACATGGTAGTTTTAAAAGAAAAACAGCTTTACACGCTTCTACATGGATTTTATCATGCAGCAGTAAAACAAAATAATTTCAAATCTTAACTAAAACTATTGTTGGAGTGAGACAATCATCATATTAAAGCTGTAGTTGAATCAATCAGTCATCTGATGAATTAATAATGGAGATTAAAGTCAACAATGAATCAAATCATTAGATGAGGAAAAGCAAGACAGAAATCAGGGTGGTTTAAAATGTACGACTTTTAATTATGAGGCAGCATGACCTGCTGCCTGGCTTTTAAAGGCAGTGGCAGACCCTTTCAATTTGACCTTTAGTAAGTCAGTTTAAGGGTTAATTCTGTGCCTAAAGGTGCTACTTAGTGCAGATGTTTGAAACTTACTCTTCTTTTCCTGACAAATGAACTGCGTGCAAGCAATATTGGCTTAAAAAATTGATACTCAAATATAGCATGTTTTAACATATTTGCACTGTATTCATACCTTTTGAAATATTACAGGTGGAAAAATGATGGGAACGGAGTGTAAGAAAGGTGAACTCCTTTGTGTAGGTTGTTTGTGGAACCAGGTGGATAGGAGAGCAGCTCGGGTTGGTCATAACGCTGATGGATGCCTGTTGCGAGCTTTCTCTGCGTATTCCTGCATCAGGCTCTATCTTCTGAGGTCTCTCCGCTCCTCCTCCGCCTCCTCCTCCTCCTCTCTTAGACACTGTTCAGGAGATGAGGGTCATTAACAGCTGTCAGTGATGTTGAAAAGCAAAACTCAACCTTTTGCTGACATGTTCATTCACCGTACCGCCTCTGCCATACCTGTTCTAAACACATTGAGGAAATAAGAACTTTCTCAGTCCAGTCCAAATGTGATTTTGACCTTTGGGCAATCTGGAACTTCCAAAATTATTGGGCCTTACTGTCAGGTTTTATTTATTTTTATTTTTAAAATCAGAACATATATACTCCAAAAGTCTGAGAAGCTGAAAAAACTTCAGCCTTATGATGGGAAAAGTTAGGAGTACACATACCTTAAATTTCCTTAAATCCTTATGGGAATAGAACTACTTTTTATCCATACATCCATATTTTCATTTTAATTTTCCTATTATTTTTTAAAATATTTGTGTTCTTTTTCATCAGCAAACCATCAGGGTAGAAATTTAACTGGATTGCATACGTTGCATGGCTCAGATAGACTGTGTCATACATTTCCTGAAAATAAACCTAAATAGTGATTCATCAACTCTTAAAATATAAAATGACAATACTTAATTCTGCTCTATTAAAAACAAAACAAAACCAAACAAAAAATATGATCCAGTGGAGAGAGGGGAAGCCACGAAGGGAAGGAAAGAGAAAGAAAAGGCTAATTAAGGATTTAAAACTACTGGGGTTTGGGGTTTTTTTTTTTGCAACCGGTGAACTGAGTCCAATGTAAAGTGTGGTGTGTGTAAGCCATAAGAAATCATATATTCTGTATAATGCAGAATAACTTACTAGCAAGTGACTGAGTAGCTGGAGAGGTCTTGGTTGCGAGGGAAAGGTTTCTGTAAAAATAAACCTCATCTCGCTGACCTTTGCCGACCCCAGCTGCCTCTCTCTTAATCTAACCTGAAGAGATTAGAAAAACCGCTTAACATCAAAAGGAACTGTGGACACCATTGTCTCCCGGGGTCCCCATTGTGTTTAGGAGTGATTTATCAGGAGGCAGCAGCCCGCTCCGGCTCCGGAGCCTTCACCCGCTGGCACCAACAATGCGGCCCCGGCTGCGGGTCAGGCTGGCCATCTCCAACCCTGCCTTGGAAAAACAAAGCCCCGACATGATGGATGGGAAACCCGACTCCGAGATTCGGTTGCCCAAACTTGTTTTGGAAGACCTGCTGGTGTTAATGGATCAACGTTTTTCAGGTGCTTCCTGTGTTTTATCCAGCGTAAATAACGCTTTTATTT